CCAACATTGAAGTCAACAATGTTCAATGCCTTGTCCCATCGTTCCTTGTCCTTTTGGCCAACAGCTTGCATTCGTGCAGTAGCAGCAGCACGAGCTTGGTTCACCTTTTCCAATTCTTGAGCGGTTAATTCTGCCACAACTCGAGGGTCCTTGAGAGCTTCTTCCGAGATGTATGGGCGAAGGGGATCACCTGGCAGAACTGGTTCACGGCCGTAAGTCATGTAAAAAGGGCTATATCCAGTAGTGGCATGGGTTCTCACACGGCAAGCAAATAGAGCAGCATCCAAGTAGTCATCCCAAAGATGAAGTGCACCATTGACATACTTGCGCAACATAGCCTTGAGGGTACCATTCAAACGTTCACACTTGCCATTGGTTCTTGGATGGAAAGCAGATGTAAACTTGTGAGTAGCACCAATGCGTTGCGTATAATGGGATAACACCTTGCTCATGAAATTTGCACCACGATCCGTTAGGATTTCCTTGGGAGAGCCAAAACGCATCACGATCTCCTCGTATAAGAAGTCAGCCACAGCTTTACCAGAAGCAACAGGGACAGCTTTTGCAATGGGATAATTGGTCATATAATCCACAGCAACTAAGATCCACCGGTTACCACGAACAGTCTTCGGCAATTCACCAATGAAATCAAGGTGCCATCTTGCAAAGGCAGCAGGAACATCCAAAGGGTGCATCACATCATGATGAGCACAGTCACGCCGACCATTCATTTGACAAGCAGGACAAGTAGAGAGCCAATCACGAATATCACCACGCATACTTGGCCACCAGTAACGTAAATGCATCAAGTCGAATATTGTGGTCTTGCCAGCATGTCCAAAGCCATCATGAAAAGTCTTCACCTTGTCAGCACGAAGAGCAAAAGGCAAATAGCGCACCTCCTTGACAACAGGATCACCATCACCAGCCTTCAGCTTGATCTTGCGATAGACCTTGCCGTCACGCACCACAAAGTGTTCTTGTTCTTGATTCAAAAAGTCAACCACCTCCTTGGGCAAATCATCAGGGCGAGAAACATAGTACAATGGCCAATCTTGACGATGAGATTCAGGTAAGGCATTCATGCTTGCATATAAGAATTGAGGCTCTAATGTTGTATCACCGGGTGGGGCATCATATGCCTTTCTTGAAAGGGCATCAGGAACACCATTCTCTTTACCAGGCTTGTACAAGATTTCAGGGTCGAAGAGCTCCAATTCATTGGTCCATCGTGCAAGTCTTGGTGTGGCCTTAGCTTGAGATCGCAAATACTTGAGAGAATTATGATCGGTAAATATCTCATATTCACGACCTTCCAAGAAACATCGCCATGTTCTCATCGCATGTAAGATAGCCAACAATTCGCGTTCTTGAGCCGGGTAGTTACGTTCTTCAGGAGACAGCTTGCGAGATTCATACGCCAAAGGATGCCATGCACCAGCATCATCTTGTTGCAACAGCACAGCACCAACACCAACATCCGATGCATCACATTCAACACGATAAGGCTTGGTGGAATCTGGAGCTTGCAGTACAGGAGCAGAGGTCAACTTTTCCTTGATGAGATCAAAACTTGCTTGACATGCATCCGTCCAAACAATGGGTCGCTTCTTGGGTCCAGATCGTTTCGTCAAATCGGTAAGTGGAGTAGCAATGCTTGCAAAGGATGGGATAAAACGCCTGTAGTGCTGAGCTAATCCAATAAATTGGCGTACTTCTTGAACATTGGTAGGAGGTTCCCAATCTTGAATGGCCTTGAGCTTTCCTTCAGCAGGCTTGATACCATTGGCAGATACACGAAAGCCCAAGAACTCAACTTCAGTCTTGCCAAATTCGCACTTGGACATGTTTGCATACAACTTGGCTTCACGCAATCGATCGAGCACCATCCGAACATCCTTGGAATGTTCTTCTGCCGACGTGCTGAAAATCAATATGTCATCAAGATACACCAAAGCGAAGCGATCAATATAGTCACCGAGCACACGATTCATCAGGCCTTGGAATGTAGGTGGAGCATTACATAATCCAAAGGGCAACACCAAAAACGAGAATTGACCATAACGGGTATTGAACGCTGTTTTAGGCACATCCTCATCCCTAATCCGAATCTGGTGATAGCCCAACTTGAGATCCAGACTTGTAAAGAATGAAGCACCTTGCAGCCGTTCAAGACATTCATCAATCCTTGGCAATGGATGTTGATTGCGAATGGTCACCTTGTTCAATGCGCGATAGTCGATGCACATTCTCATGCTACCATCCTTCTTTTTGACAAAGAGGACAGGAGCACCCCAAGGTGAGACGCTAGGTTTGATAAGGCCAAGCGTGAGTAACTCATCCAATTGCCGTTGTAGCTCATCCAATTCCAATGGAGACATCTTGAAAGGTGGTCTTGATATCGGTCTTGCATCACCAGTGTCGATTACATGCTCCAATTCTCTTTCAGGAGGTAATCCAGGCAACTCATCACGAAAGACAATTTTGTATTCATCCACCAACGCTTGCATGGAAGGTGGGATATCCTTGGACTTGATGTCGCTCTCCAACAAATGTAACATATACATGGCTTCAACATCCTTCTTACGCACGGCTTTACCGACTTGTTGATGAGACAACAAATATCGTACACCAGAGTCACCCAAATAACGTTCAGGTTCAAGCTTGTGCTTCTTGCCATCGATGGCGATATTCCAGACATCAGTCTTCCAGTCTGCCTCCGGTGTATAAGCTGCCAGCCAATTCCTTCCAAGGATAACATCAAATTTGGTGTCCAATACATATGCATCCGCCTGCATATTGCAACCCGACATTGAGAATGGAAACACCACCTCCTTGGAGATCTTCAACCTATGTCCGCCAGCAGTCTCAACTTCGCGCGTAGCTATATCAACCTTGTCCAAGTCCTTGCATAATCTTGATGAAACGTAACTTGCACTTGCACCAGTGTCAATCAATGCCAAAAATCGCTTGTTTCTTGTCATGCCACCATATAAAGGTAACGATACACCCGTGCTTGCACACAATTGTTCCAAATGATAACAGTCATCTTGCAGCTCATTCTCCTTGGTGAGAGCAATGGAAACAGCATCATCACCATGTTGGTCACCCTCAGCTGCGTTATCACTTGATATAACATTGACCAACCCCACTGGAGAATCCTTTTCTTGTGGACCCTTGTGAACAATCCCCCGATCCTCCAGCGACCGGTTTTGCTTGTTAAGGGGAAGTTCATGGTCGCACGTACGTTTCCCCTTTTCTACGTACGTGCGTTGCCAAAATCCTGGTCTTGTGCTTGTGCTTGCTTTTGGCCATTATTATTGCCGCCTCTTGATTGACGACATTCACGACGATAATGACCCATACGACCACAACGGAAGCAACGAATACGTGAACGATTTGATTGAGCAGGGGAAACAGCATCCAATTCCATAGGCGTAGGTTCTGGAGCTGTATACGTATTGCGAGCACCATTATGACCAAAACCAAATGCAGGGCGAGAATTATGCAAGCC